CTAGAATACCAGCAGGCTTCAGAAACATTACTGACTCTTCACAGCACCACAGTGAGAGATGGGATATTAGCCCCATTTTATACATGGAAAAACTCAAAGATTTTCTCTCATTCTTCTCAGGGCCCAGCCTGTCCCAGTCCTGAACCCGCCTTCACTGCAGCAGAGTTCTTGTCTCAACAGCACGAGTGTCTCACAGTAGGCCCCACATTCCCCTGCAGGCTTCGGTGTTGTGCTCTGTTAAGCTTACAAGTCTTAAAGTTACATTCTGTTCACGCCACATCGCAGTCCGCCCAACTAGTCCTTTTTTATTGTCACATTGCAGTCCACCTGCTCTCTTCTACACGGCTCATTTCTGGAGCTAGCCTTTGACACTCCCTCCTAAGCTTATTCTCTCAAACAGGCTTCCCTGCAAAGCTTCTCTCTGCATTTCCTGTACCTGCTCACTTTGCATCTCCTGTAGCTCTTGGAATTCCCGCCCAGCTAGCACAACCCTCTTTGTACACACCCCTGTTTTCCCCTATCCTGCTCAGGCGTGAACGTTCAGCTGTCAGCCATGGGCAGTAGCCAGAGGACCACATACCACTCCTGGTTCCAGTAACCAGTACACACCCTGACTACAGCTGATGCAGGAGATATTGCAAGGGAAACTAAACTCCATCACTAACATTTTCTTTTAAAACCTTTCTTTTTGCACCCTCTTTTGCAAGGAAAAAAAAGGTGCAAAAAATTGTACATCCCTCTCATACTTGAGCTATGAAGCAACAGCATAGTAAGATACAGTTCCTCATAGATTTGCAGCTGCCGAAAAAGGGAGTTCCAAGCAAATGGAAACTGCAGCTTTACACGTCTCTGCAAAAGCTTCTGCAAAGTCTGGATAGCTTGTCGAACAAATGGCAAAACACGTTTCCTTTATGCAAAGGACAAATTCAGGCCTGTCTGCTACATTATGAGAGTGCAAATGCTTCTCATGGAAAAGGCTGTCTCTAATATAAGGAAAAAAAATTACCAACCTCACTCTCAAGCGCCTGAGCACTCAAAAACAATCACCCTAAGGCATGAACATAGCACAGTCTTATGAACGTTATAAAGCACTACTCATGTTTTAAAATACAATCACTGCCATTCGTACACTTAAAGGAAGCGACTTGTCAGGCAGTTATTATGCATTTTAAAAATATCTAATTATTACACTCCTCCCTCCCTGTCTCTCTAGTTTGTTTTCTGCCTAAGTTGTGTTGCTACAGCAGTTTACAGGACTTTGCTGCAAAACTGATGAGCAATGTTGACGATGTGTTTTAAGAAAAAAAAGGGGATTTATCCTGGATTTTGTTGATATGGTTTACAGCAAGGCTTCACAGACTTTTGTAGCAGCACAACAGTGCAAAAAGCAAGAAACCAGCAGGGCTATCAAGAATTGCTTAGTAGTTTCAATCACGTGAAGCCTACACGTCTCCTGAAACCATAGAAGTGAAAATCAAGGATAGGGTTTCCACAGAAGACACGACCTTCCTAGAACAGCTGATGTATGCCACTACCTTAAAGGTTCCGTCTCCCTAATTTTTTTATTATTTCATAGTCTTGCACACAAAATCATACGTAAACCCAGTAATTAACTTTTTTCCTCTTTAATTAACCTATTAAAATAGTGCATCAAGGAGAGAGGTGTGCTATTACATTCCTGACAAAATCCAGCCTCTCTGCACATTTAATGTTCCTTGTACTGACTTTACAGCAAAACCTGATCTTGCCAATATCGGTCTGCATTCTTCAGAAAAACACAGCGTACAGTGCATAAGACAGTACAACAACATCATAGACAATTTGTTCTGTTTCTTCAAAGAAAAGCTGACTTCAGTCTGTGTTACCTCTAAGTCCCAATTACTCCTGCAGCATGAACCTATGCACTCAGAAAATAATGGCAAATCCCCAAGAACAACACTGCATGACATCCTGCGGAGCAAGCTGGCCTTCACCGACTCCTAACCGAGCTGTTCTCATTGACGTTTCCGTACTCATAGAGGCCTTCTTGAATTCCACACAACTCAAACCGCAGTTTTAAGTCCATCAAAACAGCTTTTGGCTCTCCATCACTGTATTACTTTTCCATCATCAATAGCAAATAAATGCCAAACTCTGAAGATAATATTTACATTCAGTTGCCTGAAGCAGCACTTGCCTGCTTTGCTCGAAGGAGGTCACTTGAGAAGACATGAGTAAACTTCACATTACTGAGAAACAAACCAGCAGCATCTGCTTGTCTGAAACCAGTTGCAGAGAGTGGCTCATCCACTCCTTGACCTACAAAATAAAAACCCATCAACATTAAAACATGCAAATTTAGATCACTTAGCAGCTGAGCAAGCATGGCAGCAATAAAGAATCTGCTCAGTCATAATAAAATGCTTCTCCTTCAGTAAAGCCAACCACCAATACAAGTAACTGATCTTCTGGTCTTCCCTAAACTCAGTCACACAAATTGTATGAAAAAAGGGAGTACAGGATAGGAAGACAGAAGGATCATTATTGATGATATTTATATTAATGTATACATATGACAAATGTGAACAGTCACTGGTAGCCTTCCTGTAAGAGGAATCTCATAACTGAAACTCTATAAACAGGTTTGCTGACCGTGAATAAGAAAAGGACAATACAACTGAGATAATGTTGTTGATATTAAAATACGTATACAGAAAAAAACATGCACATCGTGAGAGTCAAGTCCTGACAAATCTGAAATGCCTGCTCCTCCTCATTCCCCAACGTTGACAACGCCTTGAAGAAATGAGGCAACAAGAAAGGATTCTGTGCAATGCAGAAAGCAGCAGTCTTTGCCAAAGACACAGTTTCACGAGAATTTTACAGCTGATGTAAACACAATCTGTTGTGGGCTCTTCCTCTCCCCTACTCCACCTCGCACATTGACGCTAATGCTCATGCAGCTGCATAGCGAGCACATTGATGGTCCAAACCTAGCTGAAAAGCAGCAAGCCTTCCAAAAATTGTTTTTATCCAGAGCAGGCTGTGAAACTAGCTGGTCACGGAGCTCTAGGACAGCATGGACAGAACCAGCACTCTGGTAATCCAACCTGAATGAAATAGGTGTGCTCAGAGAGTCCGTGGGAGAACCAAGAACTGTGGCAGGGAGACAAACCTGTAACAAACTGCTACGTCCACACCTGTATCACCAATTTTACTTTTGCAGGAATTCAAAGCAGAGTGAGCAATTCTCATCAGATCCAGAACGACAAAAACAATTTTCGCCAAGCAAATGTACAATTATTTATACACTTCCAACAGCAAAAGACAGGACACTAGAAGCCCACTTGGGTTCTGAGCACCTCGTCTGTAATTCAGCACATGAGACCTCAGACCCCACTGTGCTGCTATAGTTCTTACACCTCTCGAAACACAAGGCAGTATCTGCTTTCTACACTGGAGAGGAACCTACTATGTGTCATTTGACACCGAGGGCTGGGAATTGAAAAGACATCATTGGTACTTTTAAGAACATAAAGCAGGAGAATATTCTTTATTCACTTTATTATGAGCACAAAGCCATGTTGCAAGAACTGTCAATCGCAATGCCAAAACAGAGGTAGGAAAATCTGGAAGCATGATTCTTCCTCACAGCACACAGCACTGCATAAAGTTTACTTATTCAGAGCACAACCCCACTAGGTTCCTTGTAGCTGTGAGCCTTGGTTTTCCTACAAGAGACATCCAAGCAGCTCAGTGTTTTCAGTTCTGGGTGTACAAGTCAGCAGTCACTGAGGAGAAGTCTGGTTTTAAATGTGTCTAAAGACTGCCTTCCTGGAAAGAGCTGGGATCGAACAATTCAAGTATTTAAATAACCTTTAATTTTCATTCTTCCTTGCTCGAGGTAGGTGTTTTTTGCAAGTGACAGATTACCTTCTTAAGGCAACAGTCTCTTTTACAACATGACCTTTATCCATCCTTGTGAGGCTCCTTACCAGCTCCATCGTACTGGCTGGTTCTTCACCAGAGCTGCAGCTCTCACTTCTCATCTGAGCCCCAGAAGCCCTTTTCCCAGGCTTCATACTACTGAGATTTAACACAATGCTATGGGACACTCTGGCATCCTTAGTAACAGGTGCTGCTATCGCTTTTGTTTGATTATAGGTAACTTTTTTTCCTGCCCTGTTTAGAAAAAGGAACTATTCTAATACTCCTGTTGGTACCAGAAATGCATCACTATTTGTTGATATTCCGTGAAGATCAACTTAGAATCTCCATAGTTCTGTAAAGCTATCAAACTAACATCCTGGATTTCGCATTTTGCAGGGAAGAATAATTTCCATCTCCAACAAGTCAGAACAACTGCTACTAACCTTGCAGTATCTTGTCTTTGTTATATCTTGTTTCTCCACTGAAAGAGATTATAAACAAAAGAAATTAACTCAGAATTATTTTACTGAATGTTTAAAAACATTATATTAGATACCAACAGGAGACAGCAGAGTCTGAATATGAAAATGAGATACAGTACAGCACAGCCTCTTTTCGAAAATACGTATCAGAAGACCTTACAATTAAAAAAACCCAAAACATTCTCAAGTAGTCAACTCCAATCATGCTATCTATACTTACTAAGACAAACCTACCTGGAATAAAAGGAAGGGAAGTAATTTTTAAATTTATCATAAGCACAGCATAATTTATCTATGACAATAACACCTCTAGGCTGGAAAGAGGAAAGAAGCAGGAAGACTGTGGAGTCCCCATGAAAAGCATGTGCTAGCCAACTAGACCTGTGTGCTTTAAAGCAAAGCCAATTCAAGAGCTTATCAAAGACTGCAGCAGAGCAGGCTGCACATCTTGAAATAACACAGCGTTAAGAAGCCAGAGTTCTTAGTAGAAAATCTACTAGAATGAACATCACTATCTTTAATAACAGAAAATTCTACCTTGAAAACCATAGTCAATGGTATTTCAAGAGAAGAGTGACTAAAACCATGGGTGGATTTATTCAGGAGAGAAAAGTCATAGAATCACAGAATGGTTTGGGTTGGAAGGGACCTCAAAGATCATCCAGTTCCAACCCCCCTGCCATGGCAGGGACACCTCCCACTAGACCAGGTTGCTCAAAGCTCCATCCAACCTGGCCTTGAACACTTCCAGGGATGGAGCATCCACAACTTCCTTAGGCAACCTGTTCCAGTGTCTCACTGCCCTCAGGGTGAAGAACTTCTTCCTTATAGCCAGTCTAAACCTGCCCTCTCCCAGCTTCCAACCATCACCCCTTGTCCCATCACTGCAGGCGCTTGTAAAAAGTCCCTCCCCACCTTTCCTGTAGGCCCCCTTCAGGTACTGGAAGGCTGCTATAAGGTCTCCCCGGAGCCTTCTCTTATCCAGGCTGAACAAGCTCAACTCTCTCAGCCGGTCCTCGTAGGAAAGGTGTTCCAACCTGTTATAATCAGGTCTGAATTTTGAATAGATAATTACTTTCCATTGATAACTAATTGCTTTTAATGAACAACTTAATTGCTTTAACGAATAACTAACGTTTTGTTTTAATTTCCTGATTCAATCAATTTACATTATCGTAAGAAATATACAAAACCTTACTTACGCTAAGAGACAACAGATGCAGGCCTTACAAAGATGGCCAAAGCGAAAGCTGCTGTGGATTGTAAAATTGTACAGAACACAGAACAGGGAGGCAGGGAGACAGGTACAGGGAGTGAAAGTGCACATTCTCAGCAAGTTTTCTTATCTTATGTGATGAAACCATAGAAACAAAGGAACGTTATTGTGAAGACTCTCACCACATCTTCCCCATCCTAATTTTAATCAGTAAAATAACCAATGATTATATTAGTATAAGAATATTAATAAAGTCATATAATAGGGTGGATCAATCATTGTAAATGTCAAAATTAATAGCGGGCATAACATGCATGCTTATGTTAAAATACATTAAAGATCATGACTTTTCAGAAAAAGTATATAAAAATGTTGAATTTTAATGTAACTTTAAAGCATGTTAGATGGAGCTATCCCCTGTGCTTCCCAGTGGTGCAATAAAGAAGTGCCGTCTTATCTGCAACTGTGTAGAAAAGTTTGTTGTGACTGCGACCCTTCATCAACAAACCCTCTGACCATCTTGGTCGCCCTCCTCTGGACTCGCTCCAACAGCTCCAGGTCTTTCTTGTGTTGGGGGCTCCAGAGCTGGACGCAGTATTCCAGGTGGGGTCTCATGAGGGCGGACTAGAGGGGCAGAAGCACCTCCCTCAACCTGCTGGTCACACATCTTTTGATGCAGCCCAGGAGATGATTGGCTTTTTGGGCTGCAAGCACACACTGTTGGCTCATGTTCATCTTACCACCCACCAGCACGCCCAAGTCCTTCTCTCCCCCCAACCCACTCATTGCCCAGCCTGTATCTGTGCTTGGGATTGCCTCGACCCAGGTGCAGGACCTTGCACTTGGCCTTGTTAAACTTCATGAAGTTGGCCTGGGTCCACCTCTCCAGCCTGTCAAGGGCCCTCTGGATGGCCTCCCTTCCCTCCAGCATGTTGACCTCACCACACAACTTGGTGTCATAGGCAAACTTGCTGAGGATGCACTCAATCCCACTGCCCATGTCGCTGACAATGATGTTAAATAGCACCAGTCCCATTACCGATCTCCGAGGAACACCGCTTGTCACTGGTCTCCACTCAAACATTGAGCCATTGATCACAACTCTTTGAGTGCGACCTTCCAGCCAATTTCTTATCCACTGAGTGGTCCATCCATCAAATTCATGTCATTCCAATTTGGAGACCAGAATGTTGTGTGGGACAGTGTCAAAGGCTTTGCACAAGTCCAGACAGATGACATCAGCAGCTCCTCCATTGTCAATTGATGCTGTAACTCCATCATAAAAGGCCACCAGATTCGTGAGGCAAAGAAGTCACTGAGAACCTCAGCCTTTTCCATATACCTCAAACTCATGATCAGTTCTCCCGTTTCCTTCCGGAGAGGACCCACAGCTTCCCTGGTCTTCCTTCTATCAATGACACACCTATAAGAGTTTTTCTTGTTACCCTTGATGTCCCTGGCCATATTTAATGCTATCTGGGCTTTAGCTTTCCTTACCCGATCCTTGGCTGCTTGGACAATTTCTTTGTATTCTTCCCAGTCTATCTGTCCTTTCTTCTACTTTCTGTAAATTCTCCTTTTGTTTTTAAGTGTGTCCAGGAGTTCCCTGTTCATCAACGCAGGCCTCCTGGCGTTCTTGCCTGCCTCCCTCTGTTTTGGAATGTGTTGCTCCAGGACTCAGAGGAGGTGATCCTTGAATATGGACCAGCTTTCTTGGGCCCCTCTCCCTTTCAGGGCTTGATCCCACAGTACTCCACTAAGCAGATCCCTGAAGAGGTCAAAGTCTGCTCTCTTGAAGTCCAGGGTAGTGAGCTTGCTGAGCACTCTCCTTGTTGCCCTGAGTATCTTGAATTCTAACATTTCATGATCACTGCAGCCAAGGCTTCCATTGAGTTTGAACAAGCCCCTCCTTGTTGGTGAGAACAAAGTCCACCATGGCACTCCTTCTCCTTGGTTGCTTTACCATCTGGAGAAGGAAATTGTCATCAATGCATTCCAGGAACTTCCCGGATTGCTGGTGCCCTGCTGTGCCTTCCTTTCAACAGATATCCAGGTGACTGAAGTCTCCCATGAGGACCAGGGCTTGTGAAAGTGAAACCACTCCTATCTGTCTATATAGGGCCTTATCCGCTTGGTCATCCTGCTCAGGTGACCTGTAGCAGACCCCCACTATGGTATCACCTTCCCCTGCCTTTCCTCTAACCCCGCCCCATAAGCTCTCAGTCAACTGCTCACCAATCCCCAGGCCAAGCTCCATGGACTCCAGCTGGTCCTTGACATAAAGGGCAACACTCCCTCCTCTTCTCCCCTGCCTGTCTTTCCTAAAATGCCTATACCAAATCTAACAACTAAATCTAACAACTAAACTTGACATGAACAAAGTTAAGCTTGCTGACGTTGTTGAGACTCCTCACCTGACTGAAATGTCACGTGCTTAAGTTTTTGCAGTACTAAGGCCAAGTGTGCTGCTTACTTTCGTACAGGGAACGATCAGCACTGTTGTGTGGAAGCCCTCAAGATGAGCCCCAAATAAGTAACTGATCACAGAAGGCCAGTACTTTTAAGAGAAAACGCTGTATTTTAGTACACTTTAAACTCTTTCCTGCACAGGGTGCAGCAATTTAATTCTTCAGGCTCACCCCACGTCCTGTTGGCTACTTCCAGCCTCCTGAGGAAAATGCAGCAGGCCGGACAGAGTCCATCCTGCTGGCCATCAGCTGGGGTGCAGGTGGGGGAAGAGCAGAACACACAGCTTGCCAAGTAGCACTAAGATAGCACAGTATGCACAAACACAGACTGACAGATGAACCCCCTCCCATTTGCTGGTGAATGAACTGGGATCTTTCTGAAGTGTCTGCAAGAGTCCCACCTGAAGATTTCAATTTTGACAAATTATTTCAGGCTCACATCTTTTCTAGCTGATGCAAAAGTTAAGCTGCAACTGCAGCACCAAGTTAATAAATCCAGGTGTTTAAGGGAAGTCAAGAGTAACTCCTAATAGGAAGAAAATCAGATGGAAAAAAACCCCAAAAACCAAAAAAAAGAGACTTCATTGCTCCAGTTGCATTGATCAAGTATTAAACTGTACTATGAAGGGGAAAAAAAAGTCTATTTTCATAAAAACTAAACAGCTAACTACTGTCTGTTGCAGGAAGCTGGATACAGTCAGCCTAGCCACAACAAATCTTTTGTCAATATCCTCTGCAGCTTCAAAGAAAAACTCACCTTAACAATTTTAACTAAGTCACAAACGCCAATTCCTTAACATTTCATAGCAGAAATGTTAGACTACCATTCCTAAAGGAGCTCTCTACCCCACCAGAGAGCTTACGGCAGAAGAAAGGTCTTACGAGCCCAAGAGTTCAGAAACAGCGCTCGCTAACGTGTGTAACCCCGTACTTCCATCGGTACCAAACGATACCGATACGGCTTGACATATCCACTTAACTGACGTGCACCTGAACGGCCTGACGGACGCAGACGGGCGCGGTAACGCCA